TTCATGTGCCGCCGCCGCCGCCCCGCCTGCGCCGCGGCCCCCAGCTCGAGGCGCCGCCGCGCGGGCGGGCGGGCGGCCCCGGGGCGCTGCCTCCTTACCTGACAACCGGGGCGGGCGCCGCCGGCGCGTCCTTCAGCGCTCTGCCCGGGCCCCTCCCGGGGCGAGGCTGCGGCGCGGAGCGGAGCGGGGTGCGCGGCGGACCGCCCCCGCGCGCGGCTCTGCCGCTCAGCTCCCCGCGCTCGGCAGACGCTAAGTTTCGGGGACGGCCGCCGGCGGGCAGGGCAGGGCGAGGCGAAGCGGGAGGGGAGGCGGAGGCGGCACGGGGGATGCGCGGCGCCGGGAGCGCCGCCACACTGCAGCGTCTCCAGGAATCCCTCCCGCGAGAGGCAGCCCATCACCCCCGGCCCGCCGCCCTCATTGGCTGCGGGGCGGGGAGACGGCCGCCGCCAGCCAATCGCCCCGCGCCCACCATGGGTGGAGCCGCCGCTCCGGCCTCGCCCATCCCGCGGCCGCGCGGTCCCCGACCGCCCCGTCGGGCGGGGCCGACAGGGGGGAGCGCGGGGGGCTTCCCCGCTGCACGGCGGTCGTCTACGCCCTGGGCGCGGCGAGCGGGGAGCTCCGGGGACGGGCGCGTGGCCGGCTCGCGGCTGGCTCGCGGCTGTTAGGGCGGCGGGGAGCTCGGTGCCCGGTGCCGTTGCCGAGCCCGGCGGTGCGCGGCCCTCCCGCTGCGGCGCGCCCGCCCCGCTGAGCCGTGGCAGTGGTCGGGGTGTGCGGCTCGCGGGGAGAGGACCGTGCGTGTGCGCAGGTAAGGGCACGGAGCGGTTAACTTCGCCGCCGCGATGCGGCTGCTGTGACCCGGAGCTTTGATTAACGCCGCTCTGCGAAATGTAACTGGGACGAATTCAATTAACGGAAGCACATTTCTTCAACTTTTAATTAGATCTATGCTATTTATCTAATGTTTAATATAACACGAAGAGCTGCCTGGGCTCCGAAGGGAAATGGAAAGAGATGTGGATGCAAGTTCAGCTTTCAAAAACACGACAGGGTAAAGTTCTTTGTTCTTCAGTGTGTTTCAGTGCTGGATCCATTCCTCAAAGTAATGGGAAAGAAGCGTTATTTTATTAGCAAAACTGTAAAAATAATAGGGTAATGTTTATGTGAGGGTTTCCCATAACCTTGAGATAGTTGCAGGATACCAAGTAAACACACAGTTCCAGCCCAGCCTCGACGCATAGCAGGCTGCTGAGTTACAGCTGTTATAAGAAAACTTGAGTACATGGTAGTGTATTCACAACCATGGAGTTGGCTTCACTTAGTATGCACCACAGTGCCAGTTATCCAAATTATTCTTTAATATGATAAATAGCAAATCTTGGCAAAGAGCCCCTTCTGCATGCTGCTGTTCGCAGGTCACAGAGAGTCAGGGAGGTCCCAGGCGAGTTTCGGGAATGGGCATTTACCTGCACTGTCAGCCAATCCCCAGTCCTGCCGTGGTGGTGGTATTTGCCTTCAGCTCAGCTCAAAGAAATATTTTCTGATCCCCTCAGTGCCCCGAGGTCTGTTAGTCATGTTATCAAACGTGAGGGAATGTTTTGTTGTGAGAGAGAAAGGGGAAAAGGAAAGTGAGTGTCATTTCTGCTGGGCTGTATAGAGGAGCCGTCACGGTGTAGATGCAAACGTAGACATGTGGTCACCTCCACCCACACCACCTTGTGCCATTTAAAAATAGGATTCCTCCTCTCCCCCATGCAGCAGGTCTCAAGGACTGTTGTAGGATCACATATCTAGTCAGTTAAAAAACCTGCACATATCAATTCTGATAATCTCAGGGACTCAGTGCTGTATTTGTAATAGCTGTATGGCCAGATGTCTGCAGTGTTCTGAAGATTGGTGCCTTGTCTTTGGATTTGGGCAAAGGCAAAATACATTATCTAAACTCAGTGGCCTTTTCTTAGTCCATAGGTAGAAAAGAATAAGAATGCAATATAAAAGTAGCCCTAAAGAATGTTTACCATCGCTTTCTTGCTCTCTGCTTGTGCCAGACCATATGCAATCTGCTACATGCAGACAGATATATAGAGAGAGAGATAAAAGGATGCGTTTGGTAGGGATCTGGTGGGTCGAGAGAAATAATGCACCTCCTCTCCGCTTCTGAGCTTGATAATTTGCAATGAGAAATCAGTGCCAGAGTTTCCTTCCTTCTCGCATCCACTTGCTTCATTTCCCTTTAGGCCCAGATGCTTCTTCATGCAAAGAGAAGTCTCCAGCCCTGTGAGCAAGTTCTGTTTAACCACTGCATCCTTGACAAAATGGGCAGTCACATCAAGTCGTGTCGTTAACAAAAGGCTGTGGCACTTGAGGGACAATGAACACATCCTGAATGGGTGAGGAAATTTTGGAAAAGCTAGGAGGCATTTGATGAGTGATTGGAGTGCTAGTCAAGCACTACCACTCACAAAGTACAGATCATTGTACGTAGGTCACTCTGAAAGTAATTTCTCCTATTTATTTTTCAAAAACTACAACAGACAGAGAGAGAACGATAATACTATTTGATAGAGCAAATTCTCACCTACACACCTACACTATTTTTCAACACAGTCACCACTATTAGTTATGCATTTTTATCAGCAATGAACAGGAGCCTGCATGCTATGCTCATAAAAATCTGCACCAGCAGAGGTGACCCATTGTTTTGCAGTGGCTATGATGCTGCCATTGGTAGGAAAATGTTGCCCAAGCAGTCCAGCTTTCACCAGCCTGAATAGATGGAAGTCAGAAGGCAGTAAATCCAGACTCTGTGGTGGGTGTGGTGAGACAGTCCAGCCAAAATTGGCAACGTGCTCCACAGTCTTCTAACTGGTATGAGGCCTGGCATTACCATGTTGCAAGAGAAAGGTTGTCTTTCTCTCTTGCCTGACTCTAGAAACTGAAGCCTTCAACTCAGACAGTGATGTAATTGATGGTTTGTCTGGGTTCCAGGAAAGCCAGAACGATCACCCCTTTCCCACCCCAAAAGACAGTGCGCATCACTTTATACGCTGAGAGCTGCATCTTGAACTTTTTTTTCATGAGAAATTTCCATCATCACTCCACGGACTGCTGTTTTGACTCCACCTTGTACTGGTGACACTATGTCTCGTCACAAGTAATGGTGCAATCCAGGAAACTGCTTCAGCCTTGTGTTTCTTCAGTAGGTACGTATTGTGTTCTTTCTGTTGCTGTTTGAACATTTGTGGGACCCACACAACGCAAGCTTAGCAATTATTCAGCATTATCACCATCGTTTCCAATGCACTGAAGCTCTGTACACAGTTCCTTGGTATAATCTCCTGATTCACACAGATGAGCTGATTGAGACGCTTTGCATTGCTGTCTGGAACATGGCTTATATTTCATGTCACTGTCCACTGCTGAAACGCACCACCTGCCACCTCACTGTGCTCATGTCCTCTGTCGGGTCTCCAGAAGCATTCAGCAATTGTCAGTGAAGGTAAATGGCTGTCCGTTTTCCCACTTGGAGGAATTTGTGTGCACTTCCATGTCAGATGGCACTTTGTCAGACTGCTCCTCTACTGCCATCTGTCACGCAGCAACAAAATGCAATGGAATATTGGTGGGAAGGTTCAACCTCTCTGCCATGACACCAGCATCCACCAACATAATAAAATAGGACGTATTGCTTTCAGAGCAACCTTCATGGTGCACATACTGTTATTATTGTTGTGTTTTTCACAGCTGCATTCAGGAAATGTGTTCTGCCATGAGAAAAAAATAAGAAATATGCAAAACCAGACAAAATTATGTTCCGAAACAAAGATATATTCTATTTTTCAATGTGCATGAAAACAGAATCTTAAATAATCTCTACCATTTAGAAGTTCTATCAGGAATGCTGATAAATACAAACAAAGAAACTGACTGTGAATCATCCTTCATATTCCTTGTTTTTAATTTAGACTGACTGAGCCAGAGGTATGGGAGCATCTGGGAAGAATTTGAATAAAAATGCAAGAGCAAAAAGGATACAATGTTTGCCTTTGCAATTTTTATTTTCCATTCTCTGTATACTATGGCTTCAAGATAAAAGCTCGAGATTAGAAAGCAATATGAGCTGTAAAAGCTAGGCTTTGAAAGTAAAAGACTCCCATTTGCTCTATAAACAAGAAAGAAGCCTGGGCCAAAGTCAATGAAATTGAAGTAATCTCAGGCCTATCCTGGCAAGTTTTATGGCATATAAAGAGCAGGTACTACAATGGCAGTCACTGAATGGAGGCAAATTCAGCAAGGACAGCACTAGCAGCATACCAAAAACAGCAGTCAGGGCTCTGGCTTTGGGCCCAAGCTGCCATCAGTTTCCTTTTGTACATCAGCTGTTGTATGACCAAGTATCACCACTACCACAATCAGATGTATGAGCTGGGAAGTCAGGCAAATCAGGAGGGCAAATCAGCAGGAAGAGAATGAGTCAATGATATCGATGGCAGTTAATTTACTTATCAGGCAGAATTTAGAACCGTAAACTAACAGGAATTGAGTCGTGTCATCATGATGAATTTATTCACCAACCTTGTGTTGTCTAAGATCTCAGGTACCTATTTTTAACTGACAGACATTTTTGCTTTCTACATTATTGTCACATTATTTTCTTCCTATTTTCCTTTGTTTTCACCTTTTCTAAAGTTTTTCATTACGAGTCTAAAGACAAAGGAATTACCTTTTGCTTAGGGGAATGGGACAGCATTTAAACATGTTCCAATTGCACAGATGTCTGAAACTTCTCATCTTAGCAGATGAAACACCCACTCTTTATTATTTGTTTTCCAAGTTGACAGGCATCCAAGGACTGGCATGTACAGCTGAAGATTAAAAGCTTGGAATCCCACTTTAGGACACTGTCATCCGACAGAGTTCAGTGAAATTTCCACAGTATGTACTAGGTGATGCTAACATATTTAGAATGTACATTCTTAGTCAGGAAGCCAAGTCTGCATTAGGAGAATGTGAAACATGGAAGCAAAGTGAGAAATCCAAGTCACAAAGGTGAGAATTAACCTTCAATACAACAAATAAATACTGGAGTAATAAAAGCACATGTCATGTGATATATATTTTGAAGATGATTTTTGGAGCAATGTGTGATATTATGAGTTGGATCTATGGAGAGAAAAGTGTTTCTTTGTTTTTTTGATTTTTTTTCTTTAATCCCAGCTAAAATTCAAAGAATAAAATCAAATCACTTGTTAGTCCACTGACAGATATTTGTGTCAGTGTGTCATTTTGATTTTATTGTTTCCTTGTGTTTGATCTGTACACATCTGCTGCTGCTTCCTCTGAGTTGTTTCAGCCAGAGATGTTCTCTTTTAATCTGCATTTCTATAGCAGCTAGCACTGAGAGCTCCTGGTTTCTGCCCAGGGCTCCTGGACACTGCAGTGGTATAAATGAAAATGGAAATATTCTCTTACAAGAGAGTTCAAGGGCAGTCAAATCAACCTGCATATGTTTTGCAGAGATGTCAGCTGTGAATGCAAGGACAGATCTGAGTCAGTGTCAGTCTGTTCCCCTGTAGATGGTGCCCCTAGTTCAAGGATTCTGTTTTGGGTTGCCAACTACACTTCCGTAATCTTCCTCCTCACTTTGAAAATCAGTTTTCTCCCAAGTGGTGCTCAGAGTGGTACTCCAGACAAACAGTATTTTCAGTGCAGGTAGGACGAAGGGGACTGAAGTCCTGGTTTCACCTTCAGGCACAATCTACTCTATAAAATGAAGAACAACTGAACCATGACTTCCAAAGTGCCTAGGCATTATTAATCTCCAATCTTACTCTATGGTGGTGAGCATTATGGCATCCCCAGTGTAAAAAGTTTTGTCACTGGTGACCATATGCATCATACGGATGACTGCATAATAAGAAGAATGGGAAGTGGGATTTCTGATTTAATTCTGAGGAGCTGACCTTCACAAAAATCACACAAAAAAAAATCACAAAAAAGGGCTGTGTTTTCAGCCAGAAGATGTGGAGACTCAGGGGGGAACTTACTAATGTCTATGAATACCTGAATATAGGGTGCAAATAGAATGTAGCCAAGCTATCTTCAGTGGAGCCTGGTGCTAGGACAAGAGGCAATGGGCACAAACTGGAACACAGGAGGTTCCACCTAAATTTCGAGAAAGACTTTATATATAACAGAGCAGTGGAATATGTTACCCAGAAGCATAGAGGAATCTTGGAGATCTTAGAGAACTTCAAAAGCTGCCTGGAAATGGGCCTGGGCACCTTGCTGTGGGTGCCCCTGCCTGAGCAGGAGTTATACCAAAGGGACCCAGAGGGTCCTGCCAACCTCAGCCATTCTGGCATTCTATGTGATGGCTGTCCGTGTTACACCTGAGACGTCAAGAAAGGTCTTTTCAAATTGTTATAATACACATAAGAGACATCCATGCTATTCTGTGGTCTCCACTACAAAAGAATGATGTTGATTCAGTTTTGAAAGTCTCAGATGAGTTGCCAGTGCAAAATACGTTTGTTATCACCACCCTGAGAAGAGAATAAGGGTGAAAATTCAAATTAGAAGATACCACTGAGATGTAGGTGAAATCCTGTGGATTCCGGCTTCCTGAACTTGATGTCTCTAATTTGAGATCTCCACAAGATCTATATCATGCAGAAGACACATAAGAAAGAATAACCAAAAGGCCAGCCCAGCCCCGAAGCATGACAAGGGTTACCATTCAGCTCTGCCGAATTTTCCAGGAACATTATGTGACAAAAAAAATAGGAGAGTTATTAGGGCACAAAGCTAGTCAACATATTTTAAATTTCAGAAAGTACATTATAATATCAGTACACTGATAAGTAAAATCTCAAAGTAGTTTGTTTGCATTTACTTCACACAGCCATTTCATTCAAAGGCACAGTGAAATTATCCTAGTATTTATAGTTTAAATCCTAAACCATAAAAATGTCAGTGTTTTTTTTTTTACAGCAGTCACCATTTCATAATATTTTCTGTCCTTTTTAAAAAATGTATTTATTTCCTTTATAGAAATGCAGCCTCTTCACAGTTCTGATGTTTTAACTACTCTTCAGCATAAAAGCTTGCAAAACACATGGATAAATGAACTGGAAATTATGTCTCATTAGTACAATTAGGAGAGAAGGATTTTTAATTTCAGTTTCTTTATACCTATGTTTTAGCCTAAAAGCAATAAAGTAGTTACCTCAAGCAATTCTGTTTGTCAGCACCATTTTGTTTGCAAACTAAAATGCTTGTTTTGTTTCCCACATTGCTTTTGTATGGTATGTGCCATAGCCTTCAAACCACAAGAACAGAAGGGAGTAGAGCTCTCTGAATGTAATTGTGTTGTTAAGATAAGGTCAGTGGTAATGTCACTTCTGCAAACCCTGATAGATTTTTATCCAAGTCAAACCTGAATTTTTAATCATTATAAAATGTTATTTTTTTTCCTAGAACTTTCTTGTTTTTTAAAAAACTTAGGCAAAATAAAAATTCCTACCCAGTGAACTTAATTCTCCTCACAGTTACACAGATAAATCGGTAGCAGACCTTCTGTCTTAAAAGTGTAAATGCTGTCTTGTATAAATCAAGCTATCTTAGAGACCTAAAGAAGTTAATGTAGCATGGAATAATTTTAATTCAAGTCCTGAGTTTAAATATGAAGCTTTAAGGGAACTGACCTCAATAGCACACTGTGAGCATAGTTTCTTCCATACTGAGTAGTTCTTAGTCTGTGGCAGTACCATCTTCTCCTGGTGCTATAAATCCATGAAAGAGAATCCCCTATCACCTTCCTAGCTTTCTGCTTTTGACTTTCCTAGTTACCAGTCTTCTTAGCTTCCTTCTTTTCTGTTCTTCCTGTTCACCCAATAAAATATTTTGTGATAGCATTGCTAATCCAAAGTGTGAAATGATCTGGACAGTTCATCGGTCTCTTCACCCTTGACATTAAAACCTATTTCTGCAACAAATGGAATTGGTCCTTTTATCTTAACGATGAAGGTAAAACAGAATTATAACTGATGATGAAGTATGACAGCACATAGTTCCCTACTGAGTAATGGAAAACTCACTGACCTGTTGTATTTTTTTAGTTCTTGTTTGTATGTGAACACAAGTACCTAGTCAGGTATTTTACTTAAGAGAGAGAAGAAAAAAAATAAAAAGA